AGGCTGGCTTCAAACTCAGATCTGACTGCCTCTGATTTCTGAGTGTTGAGATTTAAGGTTCGTATTATCACACCTTTTTATGCAGTCTGGGAGCCTAGCCTAGGGAATGATGCTACCCACAGTGGTTTCCCACCTCAATTAGCCTAATCAATATAAACTGATGGTTAATCTCAGCTGTGAACTTGAGATCTGGAATCCCTTTGGGGACAGATCCAATGCCCAGGGGAGGCAGAGAAGGCTATCATGGAGCCAGGGCAATTTGCCATGAGGGCAAAGCTACTAAACCCTGGGCCAGACATGACCATATTATAGAAACATAGGTAATTTCAGGATGCAGATGAGAATTATGACAATATGTAGTTGGCATTTTCTGTGGGCTGCCAACCAGCTCCCAAATAAAGACACAGAGACTTGTTCATTGTGGATGCTCGGCCTTAGCTTAGGCTTGTCCCACGAGCTCCTTTAACTTAATTTAACCTGTCTCTATTCACCCACGTTGGGCCTCAGGGCCTTTTACCTTTCTTTCATTGAATATGTCCTACTTTCCTGCTTCCTCCAGGCCTGGCTGCCTGGTCCCTGGCGTCTCCCTGCCATCTCCCTTTCTCTCCCTCCCCTTTTTGGAGGTAGGGTTTCTTGTGGCTTTGGAGCCTGTCCTGGAACTAGCTCTCGTAGACCAGGCTGGTCTCGAACTCGCAGAGATCCACCTGCCTCTGCCTCTGCCTCTGGAGTGCTGGAATTAAAGGCGTGTGCCACCAACGCCCGGCTCCTCCCTCTTTTTTCAGCCTAAATTCTGCCTCTTATTCTCCCCGCCTGGAAGTTCCACCTATACCTCCTCCCTTGCTATTGGCCATTTAGCTTTTTATTAGACCAACCAGGTGGCTTAGGCAGGCAACGTAAAACAGCAACACATCTTTATATAATTAGATATCGTTACATAATTAAATAAATGCAACACATCTTTATGTAGTTAAACAAATATTGCACAACATAAAAATGCAATGTATCTTTACATAGTTAAGCAAATGCAACACATCTTTGCATAGTTAAACGAATATTCTGCCACAGCAATATTAACTGTAAGGATCAGAGGAAGCCCTGTGCCCAGTATGAGAGCCCATTGGCACTGGTGTAAGGGGGTAAAGAGGGGCCATAATTACAGATAATTGGTGACTTTTGTCAGGAATACTCTAGAAGCCTAAGGTGAATGAATTTCCTAGATTGGATTGGATGTCAATGGAATAAGAGGAAAGAGCTTGCAAAATTATGCCCCCAAACTCAGGAGGTGAGGGGGGCACCTTGGCTACCTGCTAGGGTCTAGAGGTGCTTGAGATAGTAAAACTTTATTGTCAACTCGACTGGGTTTAGAATCACATAGAAACACTCCCTGAGGTATGACTATGAGGGTTTTTTTCAGGGGAGAACCTCTTTGAATGTGGGTGGCTCTATTCCATAGCTGTAGTTTTGGGTGAATAAAAAGGAAGAAGCCAGCGGAACACCAGCACTCATCTGTCTTTGCTTCCTGATCATGGACGGAATTGAGCGGCTGCCATGACAACCCTATCGTGACACACTGTATCCTCAACTTCTGAGCCAAAGTAAACTCTTTCCTTCTTCAAGTTGCTTTTCTCGGGTATTTTCACAGTGAAGGAAAAAATGAACAGTGTTTGAAAGTGAGTTTCTCTTGGGTCTCAGTGGAAGAGATGGAGATCTCCAAGAGGCTCAAGGGAGTAGGTCCTTGGAGCTTGCAGGGATGGAGCTATGTCTCAACTCTGAGCCGGTGCAGCCATGATGTGCTGTGACTACAACAGGAGACATGAGTAGGACGTGGTAAGGTTTAAGCCAGAGAGCTTCAGGCGGTCTTTCATTTTGTGGAAGGGTTTTTAAATAAACCCCAATCCCCTGGGTTAACAACAGGATGAAATCTGGAAAAAGTAAGGTCAAGCTTGAGGCTGCTTATACCCCAGTAGACAGTGATGGCTTGGATTGTCTGTGTGCAGAATATAATCCACTGAGATTGATAATGAGCCTTGGGATTTAATAAGGGAGGGGTCAGCATGTAGAAAAGACGGATCATAAAGGACTATGAGAGAGTTGAGAGAGTGGCAGTCTTGGGGGCAATTTGAGATCTTAAGGGTGGGATTGGGAGGAGAGTGGGCCAAGATTATTGAGTTTCCAGTGGAAGCTTGGTGAGAAATCACAGAAGAGTTAGATTAGCCCTCTCAACCTTTGCAGAAAACCAAAGGTGCCAGGTGGTGGGAACATAGGAAATGAAATCTGGGCCATTGTTAGTCTATAGGGAGTGGGAAAGCCTCAAGCAAAAAATAATGCATTCTGTGAGGATATTGGCTACCTCTGGGGCTCTTTCTTTTTGGTGGAAAATGCCTTTATCTACCCAGAGAAGATGTTCAGTAGATGTCTGCATCCCTTGCACGGGTGCATCCCTTGCATGGGTGCATGGAAGTCAAGTCCACTTTCCAACCTTCTCCTGGCATAGTTCCTCTTTGCTGTAACAGAAGGAAAAGGGGAGCAGGATTAAGGACCCCATCTAGATTGGCATGACAAATAGGGCAAGCTATAGAAACATATGACAACGTCTGAGGAACACTGTGTCTGTGAAGATAGGTTCAACTAGAATTTGAGGGCTTCAGCCCTCAAATAGTATGGCCTAATAAGAACTGTTAAGGGCCTTTCCCTGGGAGAATCCAGGGAGCAATAGCTTGATTCCAAGGTTTTGTAACTATGCCTCTGGAGTGGTTGTGGAGCTCTGGTCTGAAGCCTTTGGAAGCATACATTTTGGACATGGGAGACTGGGATTGGGGATGTAGGCTTAGCTACCCGTTTAGTCTGTTGATCTGCTTGGTTGTTCCATGAGGGCCACCTGAGTTAGAAGCCAGGTGGCTTCTGGAAGGGTCCAAATCCCAGGAGCATGTTTAACCAAGGTATTACAGGCAGTAAGGGGGGGGCCTTTCCCTGCAGATGGCTGCGTGGTTGTGGGTCACATAGAAATTACAGGCTGGATCTGCTAAATAGGTCTCATTCCTGACCCCAGCCAGAGGGCTCTGCTCTTGGGACAGATGTGGAATTACAATGTTGCAGACTCTATGCCATCTGTGAAGTCCAGGATTGCACATTGAAAGTCTATGTCTTAACTTCCATCACACTGCTGCTGTTCATGACCAAGGAGTCTCAGCTCAGGGAGGGGGGAATTGCACGAATCTGGCTGGGTTGGCATAGCAGGGAGGTTGACTGTTCCTCGGGAATGGCATGGAGTCCTTGGGGTTATCTTAGTGGATACTTTTCTCACTGTATGCCTGATAAAGCTACTTAAGGAAGGAGCAGTTTATTTGGGCTCAGTTTGGGGTACAGGAATGTGAGGTGGCTGGTCACACTACATCCAGTCAGGAAGCAGAGAGACGGAGAAGGGCGCCCAGCTCACTTTCTCCTTTTCCTACAGTTCTGGACCCCAGCCCATGGAATAGAGCCAGCCATTCATTTCAGATGGGTCCCCCTGCCTCAATTACCTTACCTAGGAACTCTCTCACAAACAGTGGTTTGTCTACTAGGTGATTTAAACCCTGTCAAATCAGCATCGCAGTAAGATTTGGCATTAGGGTTATAAGATTTAAACTTTGGCAAGATTTTCTTTTTCTAATTTTGGTTTTTGAAGACAGGGTTTCACCAAGTAACAGCTCTGGCTGTCCTGGAACTCTGTAGACCAGGCTGGCCTCGAACTCACAGATATGCCAGCCTCTGCCTCCTGAGTGCTATTATTAAAGGTGTGTGCCACCACCGCCCAGGGTCAAGGTTTTATAGTAAGCTCCGAAGTCTGCTTTTGTTGATTCTGCCATGAAGAGATAAGCAACTGAGCATTATTAGGACTCCAAAGTTTGGATTAAATGCCCAGTGCTACTCTATGCCCTTTCACTCATTTGCATGGGCAAAAGAGGGCTTAGTAAGATCAGGGGAGAGAATGCGGGACCAATCTAAGACATCTGGGGCACCAGGGGGTGAATATGATCAAAATGCAGTAATAAAACCTGTTATTATGTATACTACTAAAATGTTAAAACTCCTCTTCCCGGAGGGTCATTCACTGGACTTTGTCTCTTTTGCTTCTGTTCTTTATGGCTCCCACTGCCCAACATATAAGTCCCTTGCACTAATCAAGGATGTGGGCTCCTGCCTCAGAGCCTTCTTAGGCATCTAATCCCTTTCGTATTCATGTGTGACTTTGCGTTTGTATAGATGACTCAACTAACACCCAGCCTTTCTTGGAACCTGGAACATAAAACCCTAACCTTTGAGCAGGTCTTCAAATATCACACCACACCCCACCCCAGCCATTAGATTGATTGCAGATTTCCTTGATGTCTCTTGCTAGGACTATCGTCATTCTTATTATTTGCTATTTATTTGATAGGTAGCCCAGTTTGGCCTTGGGTTCACCAAATAGCCTGGGCTGTCCTCAAACTCATGACATAAAGATTTGTATATGTTGGTGGCACAGTCCCAGCTACTCAAGAGGTTGAGGCAGAGAGAGAGATTCTGTTTCAAACAAACAAATGAACAACAAAAAAAAAAAAAAGAAGGAAGAAAAGGAGGAGGGGAGGCAAGATAGGAGAAAGTCGTCGGTGTTATAACTGAGTGGAAGGGACCTTGCCTAGCATGTGCCATCCCCAGCACTGCAAACCCAAAACAAAACCAAAAACCACGTTCACGGGAAAGGGGGAAGCAGTTTATAGGAAAAGAAAGCATATTCGTGGGACCAGGAGTGAGGAGAGAGGAAATGGATAGAAGGAAGCATGAAGGAGATTTCTGGAGGTGAAAAATGTCCCATACATTGGTTATGACATTAGGCGTGGGTTGCGATGTGTGTATGCACTCTTTCAAAATTCATGAGTGTATATTGTTAAAGACAGTGTTCACTGCACAGAAAAATATCCCAATAAAGTTTGTTTTTGGGTTTTTTTTTTTTTTTTTTTTTTTTTTTTTTTACTCACAGAGATCCGCCTGCCTCTGCCTCCCGAGTGCTGGGATTAAAGGTGTGCACCACCACCGCCCGGCGCCCAGGCTCAAATTTCATATCCTAGCAGATGTCCGCTCCTTGCTTCTTCTCTTCCTCCCTTTCCTGAACACTGGTCATATTAAGCACACCGCGATCTAAAATGCGCTTAGGTGTTTCGCCCTTCTCTGCTTGCCTGCTTGGCTTGTAATATTTCTGCGAGCCTCTCTCCCCTCTTGGCTCCATTTCACCGATACAGAAGTCTATCACAGAAAGTTCTTGTTTGCACTCCTGTTTTGTCTCCCCAGCCCCTTAGGGGTTAGGATTAGGCTGTGAGCGTGACACCTGG